TAAATCCAAGTAAAAACATCATATTAGTCTGCTCATGATCATTTTAGTCTGATCTTAATCTTATTCGATTTGCTTAAATATGATACATGAATAGAATTGTAACTACTCTGATTTAGTTTGGTAGATACTACCTATTAGTTTCGTGTCTTTTTATTATTATATAATTTGATTCATTGTGTTAAAGTTTGATATTATCCGATGTAGTCTAGTTTTTTGAACAAAAATCAACCCAATTGAAAGCATCTTTGTTCTCACACTTGACAATAGAATAATGGAAATGTTAATAATGGAAGTGTCAGTAAGTATTGGCAGAGACCGGGAAGGGAAAGTAAGTGTAAATTTTAAACATAATTTTACATTATTTGACAGAGTTTAAAAAATGAAGTGCTAGTAATAGAAGTCTTTTCCCCTAAATTGAAAAAGTTTTAGAGATAGCTAAAACGTAATTAAAATTCCTTTTTCCAATTTACCTGTAATGGTACTCCATTTAATATTGTGTTTAAGATACATATAAATTGAGATTTTTCCAAAAATATTATAATAAAATTTATTGATAAGAATGTAACTAAAATTACTAAAAATATATTTTCTTGGTTAATAGTTCAATAGGTATACATATTGAACATGGATATAATAACTAAAAGTCATCGTCTCCCGCCTATTCGAGTCATTGTAATTAATATTGATATATGGATACTCCATCCTGTATCACTTTATTTGTCCCACTTTTCTTTTAGGGACGTATCAAATTAATTGTCTCATTTTCCTCTATGAAAAGAAACTCACCCTAAAAATATCTACAATACCACTACAGTGTGGTGCTACAGTAGCGTTGCAATACCAAAAATCTCTTACTTTTTAAGTGTACAATATTATACTCCCTCCGTATTTATAAGATCACTACAATAGCATTGACCACATTATTTAACAAAGAAATAGTAGGAGTAATGAATAGTATAGAAAAAAAGTAGGAGAGAGTGTGTAAAAGTATGAAAGAGAAGATAAAAAGTTGAAAAAGTAAGAGTAATTGAGTATTTTTAAAGGAAAAACTTACTAAAAATGAAAAGTTAGTAAACTTTTAAATACATCCCAAAAAGAAAAGTGTAACAAATTTTAAAATACGGAGTGTATTAAATTACAGGCAAAAACAAATGAGACAGATAATGTGCTACAGAGGAAGTAATGATTATTAAAAGTAATTATTTTGATTTTTGAACTTATAGGGACAAGTTAGGGTTCTCAAATAGTATCTTTTTGGGGCTAATTTAGAATTACTCATTATTAGTATCAGTGAATCATGTACAAAGTGGGATTAGGATGTTTTTACTTGGACTAAAACTTTTTAATCTAGTGTGATCTGATTTGGTTAGAAATTAATTTACATCTTTAGAAGCCATCAATGATGGAGCATGAGGATGAACCGATGAAGGAAAAAGGAAGATGGTGCCGATGATAATTTATCCTTACACGACTTGAAATATTTATACTAAATGTTTCAAGATTTGAGAATGACTTTTTACCACGAATGCCTACAAACAGCGTTTGGAATCTGAAGGATTGTCCAAATTCAAGTAGCATACTCGTCCATCTAATTTATCCAGACTTAACTTGAATGTACATATTTGGACAAAATGTTACACTTCAACTATTGGGGTGATGGCTTTGGCTATAATAATGATATTATTATCCCAACACAACTAAAACTTTGATAAGTCTAACCTTTATTCTGAAATCTGAATAATGAATACTCAAAACCAATGTATATAACATTAGAAGCTATAAGGAAATGGAAAACAAACGATAATACATTAGATAAAATATTCTGATTATTGGTTTAGCGAATGCGATAATACATTAGTGAAATAAACGATAACACTGTATATTCTGAAATTTGGTTTAGCGAATGCTATAATACATTAGATAAAATATTACCTAAAAATAATTTGAAGTTATTACAAAGTAAGATTACTCACTTTTTTGGAATAAAGAGACTTATATTGAAATATCAAAATTCAGGCAAACAACAAAAAGACAAAAGTTCACTCTCTCGAACCAGACTCAGAGTGAACTACCTTTCTAAAACCAATATGATGATCCTATAATGAGCATAACTGAATTAAAGGCGATCAAAATAGACCTTCCATCACTAAACATAAACTCAATAGTCTGACTACAAAAAACAAAAAGAGAAAAGGGCCAAATAAGACTTTCTACTATTATGAAATAGTCACGTAAGGCCATATACTCAATAAAGTGTCATATAAGTACCTCTACTTGTAAAAAGCAATCAAATGGGTCATAATGACCTCTTTAACACCTCTTAATCCCGGTTTTAACGTACTTCTGACCATCTTTTTAGAATAGAATATACGGCATACGTCGAATATTTAACAAAGATTGATTGAAATACAAGTCAAAAAATTCGACATGTAAGCTAAAACCGGGATTATGAGGTTGTAAATAGATCGTTATGACTTATTTGATTGTTTTTTACAAGTAGATGTACTTATATGACACTTTATTGAGTATATGGCCTTATACGACTATTTCATAATAGTAGAAGGCCTTATTTGACCCTTTTCTCAAACAAAAACACAACCAAAATAACATCCTGACTCATAAAAACAGCCAAAATAACATCCTGACTTAAAAAACCAAAATAACATCCTGACTATAAAAACCAAAATAATAAGAAAAACATAGCAAGTAGAGAAAGACTGCCTCCCCAATATATCAAGAAGCACGAGCTTGCCCTCTCAAAGACCCAGGCGGGCCCGATAGCCAGCACCCGCCCCTATCCCGTTTTCTGGCTCATCTAGAGCCATTGTGTCACCATTCTGCGTTGCTTTCTCCAACTCTTCCTCCCACATCTTTCTTCTCTTCTGGTCCAATTCCATGCTAGATGTTCCAACTTCTTTGTCCTTTCCCTCCTCATTTTCTGACACTGTGACTAGCCAACCCTGATTCCCTTCCACCTTAGGTCTAGTTTTCCAATCTGCTCTGTCTTGCCGGTTTGTAGCCCATTCCATCCGATGAAGACCCCTCTTAAACAAGCCATTTATTAAAAACTGTGGGTCGAAATTTCCTTCCTCCTAATCTAAGCCATGACCCAAAAGATTTCTTCAAAGACTTATGCCTTTTCTGTACGTCAAAGGATAGAACTTATCTGCATGACCAAGGACTCCAGACACAATAGGCAAATTTTCATATTTAAAGTCCATCCAATGCTTTTTTATTGTAGTTTTAGTCTTTAGAGATTTTCCTACATCCAAACAGACTCTTATACGCATATACGCTTTCCACTTTTCTCAAACCGACTCTCATCCAATTTAATAAAGGTTCTCACAAAGTTATCAATCACTTTTGCTACTTCTAAAGTCATAAAGCCATATGACACATTATGCACCTGAACCAAAATTTAGTTGTATTTAAAGGTCCCCTGATTTTATTGATTTTAATCATACTAACTATATGATTAAAAATGAAAGGACACCTCTTATCTCCTATTTTCTTGATCGAGACTCCTTTACCCAGACGCCATATTGAAGTCATTATATCTTTGAAAATATGGAATTTCAACATCTTGTTGGTGATAATCATGCCCACCAGGCCACCACCAGAAAAACCTCCCTGTCGACGTCCTCTTGTGCACCATCTTCTATTCTTCACCCTCAAAAACCAGTTCATCTCCTCTCTTATATCTAACTTGTCATATTGGTTTACCATGGTATTCATTTTGATAGACAAACGATTGATGCTCCTACCTTGCGTTGCACTTTCTGTTTAATCAACAAGAAACTCAAACCACACCAGCCGTGGAAGACGTAAACCCTACTTCGAGGTAGAGACTGCCCCAAATTAAGATTACTTACTTTGATATATGATATTCCCTCCATCTCAAACAACTTATAACATTGGTAATTGGTTTGTCCCAAAGATGAGCCTAATCTTGATCAAACAAAACTTTTTTTTTTTCTCCAAAAATTTGACAAAAACAAACTACATACCACAAACTTCGTAAACCAACAAATAAATCATAAAAACATACGGAGTATAAGCAATTCATGATTTGTGATCAATGTATGCATGTACTTTATCACAAGAAAAGAATTACACACTGATCAAACATGATTTTTTGGGGGGCATAGGTAGTATTCCTTAAGCTGTTAAATATCAAGGACAAATTACGAATGGTCTAAAAGTATAACAAGGTGTTAGGAATAACATGCCAGTAGTATTCCTAAAGCCCTTAATACATAAGAAACCCCAGCTAGTCACGTTAAAATGTTAAAGTACACCAAAAACCCTAGCTAATCACGTCACCCTAATATTACCCCAATTTCATACGTCTTCCTAGAAGTATCATTGAATTACCCTATTAATATGTAAACTGGAACCAAAGAAAGGTAATCTCACATTACTTTTCTCACATTAACAATGTAATATAAGATTATCTAAACCAAATGACTAACAGTATTAGGGTTTAGCGTTTGAAACTTTGAATGACATGTATTTAAACTCTTCTTTTCGAAACCTCTTAAGGTTAAGCCAATGTCTCGAATAAGCAAGCGCAACCGATATCTAGTATCCATTTTGTTCTGTCCTACTCATGCAATAAGATAAGACTCTACCTGTTTTCAGTTCAATTTTGTAATGATTAATATGGTATAAGCGAAAAAAATATATATTTAAGAACTCCATCAAAAGTGTTGCTAAACTAGAGGTGATGCACTATTCAGTATTAAACAAATACTACATATTAAAGAAAATAAGCCAAGAAAGAAAGTGTTGTAAATAATGTTAATATTTGAAGTATGAATGACCTGCAGGCAGGACTATTGTTAGTACAACATTCTAAAATGGTGGGAAGGGGCAATTGGTGGCTGGCTTCCTGTATGAAGTAAGAGAAAGCACCATCTATCTTGAATTTCATGATGGAGCCGATCAATCTCTTTCAAGGCGTCCAATCTTCTTTAGTTTCAAGTACAATATTGATGCCAGCAGTTGCAACTATCTGTTCTATTGTTATAAAGTTGTGGGCTGGTTAATGGGAAAAGAAGCCAGTAGAATCCCAGTAGCCCAGCTAGAAATGCCAATGTTATTGTTCCTACAACTCAAAGACAATTTGAAATTGAACATTAGCGTGTTGAGCATATTTCATTAAAGAATAATACTTTTTGTACATCAAGCGCTAAAGTGAGGTTCACTGAATATAACTGGTTAGGCTTACTGCCTTACTGGAAATCTTTTTCAAAAAACTTGTGGGGTGAAGTTGACTCGAGGAAATTCAAAACCTTTAGAATCTGAAATGAGGAATTGCAGAATCTGAAGTTAAGGAAAGAAAGAAATTAGAAACTGGCAAAGCTTATTGCTTCTTGAGTAGTCCACAATTTTTTAGAAGGTTTTAGAAGCCCAAACCAGTAGTGTGGAACTTCAGAAATAATTGATGTCGTTTTTCACAAGTTCGCAATTTTAAAGCAAATTAATTAGCAGCTTCTTAATAAAGGTAGCTTTCACTCATCCAAAAAGAAACACCTTGACGCGCAGAAATGCCCAATATAAAGACTAAATATTGTAACCATCAAGGACAGGAAAAGAAACTCTAGTATTTAAAGCACACATGATCAATCATGTCTATTGTCTCCGAATGTTGTATGTTTACCTAGGCGTAGTAGTGAGTGCCCATTATGCATAAAAGTGCATTATGCATGTGTATATGACTTTAAGTGGCAGATCCTTTACATCGAAAAATACAACCCAATAAGTTCTGACATACCTGATTGAGGAGAATTTATGGCGGGCAAGCCCATATAATTACAAAAGATGTGAGCAACAAGAGGTGCAACCAGATGCCCTGATATAGAAAAGGGTGCGAACAAGCAAACTTTATACTTTTGCCTCTGTATGAAAAGAAACCAAAAGAAGAAAAGCGGGGGGGGGGGGGGGGGGGGCAAAAGCACAGTCAAGTTGAAAATATGATAGGACTTTGTATGAGCAGTTAGTACACAAGCTGGTGAGGTGATGTGCGAATTAAAATCAATACTTCAACTCTTTTTCAGGTAAAAAGAAATAAAACCCTTACTCCCATCTGACCATTGTCACGAATGAATTTTATTTATATTATATTAGGCCAAATTTAGAAAATGTAATTATTATCAAGTGTCTATGCTCTTTAATGTTTCCATCATTTGCAATGTAGCCAAAGATTCACTATTTTTTGGCTTGGGAATATGATGGAATAAAGCAAAATGGTTCACTAAACTGTCTGCGCTTCTTTGTTATTAAGCAACAATCAGTCCATGCAATTTTCGATGCAATTTTCACTATGGATCATCCGGAAACAATCTCTCTGTGCTTTAGTGCAGGGGTAAGACTACGTACATCCAACCCTCCCTTACTCCACTGTAGCTGGGAGCCTTAGCGGCACTGGGGTAATGATGATGATGATGTCTATGCTCTTTAGTAAAAATACTCCGTATAAATTTTTAACTTGACTCTAACTAGAAGTATGATGTCTATGCTCTTTAGTAAAAATACTCCGTATAAATTTTTTACTTGACTCTAACTAGAAGTATATTAGGCTGATAGCAAAATGCCAAGGAGGATATTATGTAGAGCATTGTTCCTAAAAATACAAAAAGTATGCTAAATCAACAATCACATTTTAAAATTGAAACTAAGGAAGAAGATCAGGGAAGTTAATCAGCAGAACAAGCATAAGATAAGTGTAATACGAAGTGATGTTTAAGCATATTCCACCTGTACGAACATATAGAAAGGAAGCATATGATCCAAATATGACAGTGTAGCCAAGCTGGAAACCTGCAAAATTGAACACAAAAATAATTAGGTCAGTATACCAGGCAAGTGAACTACAAACGATCATTTATTTTGACACTTCATCACCAAGAATTATCTACTATCCAAGAATGGAAATCTCCGGAATGCCCACCATGAAGTGGAAGAGAGTAAGAGGAGTTTTTCTTTCAGCAGTTTCAAGTACTGAGAGCACAGAGTGGTTATACCTGCAACCATAAAAGCTTTGAGCAAGCTGCCTCTCTGCTGGGCATATTCCAATAAATGGTTCAAATGAGCTGCAAGGACACCACAGTTTACTTCACTTATGTTATTATCAAATTATAAAGGGCAAAATGGCAAATGCATGATAGACGTAGAAGAATAAAATGAAAATTAGCAAAACAAAGGAAGTCAATCAAGAAAAAATGACATGTATGACTACTCACAGTCACTGTGTATATGTCACTTTTTTGGAAAATTTTAAAACAAGTCATATTTTTGTCTTTTGAATTTAATTTAATAATATTCATGGAAAAAGGCCAAAGATTTATGGTCTTGATTCTTGATATCAGGGACTTAAATATCACTCCTATAGTCCTTCAAATCAACTTATTATTTACATTATTTGCATATTTTGAAAGATTATAAATAAAGGCTTCTCTTTAGTATAGAAGGGGTATTGAGTGATTGTGGTATACACTAGGCTGTGGGAAAGTTACGTTACGGGAGAATACCTTCTGGTATTTCATGTTCTTTTCTATCTTATTCACGTAGTTTCTTCATTTTCTTTGTATTTTATAAAACATCTTCTTAGATTATTTCTCCCGCTGCCTCTTTACTCTCTATCAGTTTAGGATCGAGTGTTGGTCTAAGATGCATTGCGGAAGTAGAGCGAAGTAGAGCATTGAGTATGAATAAGTGATAGGGTTTAGCCGGGGTCCAGGGAGATGGTATCCTTCAATGGTACGTTAAATGTTATAAATTAAAGCTCTACGAAACTGTTTTCATTCAATAATGCACTATTAAGTGGTCCGTAACACCCTGATTCAATTTTCAGTATATGCATTCCATGAGCTGGATATATATATATATATATATACTTATTTCCTCAGTCCTAATAGAAAAACAAGTATAATCCCTGATGCTTGATGTATTCCATGTGCTGAAACTTGTTTCTTACCTAAACTGAAAAATATGGGACAAAGAAACACGACAGTATACATATTGAATCCTCCACAAGAAAGCAAAGGGATCATACAAGCTCTAAAAACAAGCTCTTCTGTGAGTGGTGCCTGTTCAATAAAACAATGTTGATATTATTGAACACTTGGTCTAAACGACAAAAGAACAAATTGCTTTGCTATTATGGAGTATACAAATCAAAGAGGATAAACTCAAAAACTAAGCTGCAACTATCTGCATTTAATGACTTCAGGCCTACGGCATATCACGAAAAAGAGTGTATTCTCCAAAATCAGAAAGTAAAGGCAATGAAATAACACACAAAAAAAGAACAATCTTCAAATTTAAGTTGCCTCTATTAACCTTGTCTTGCTCGCAATTGTGAATCATTTTTCTGTGCTTAATATTTCCTTTTCAGTAAATAATACACTAGGGCTACAGATATGTTTTGAATTTTGAAAATCCGTAATCCTGCAAAAATACTTTTGAGGGTTTTCTAACTTTAGAACTATCATCATGCTTCATGTCGTTAGCTTTTTATTCAATGCAACAGAATATTCTATTGTTATTTAAAAGGAAAGTGAGAAAAGGTCATACAACTATAATTTGTAAGAAAAGTACATAAACATTTCTTGAAATTGTTTTATCGATAGCAAGCAAACATATAAGGTACATCCAATGAAATTGCGAACTACAAATCTTCATGATCAGTAAGAATATAGTCAAAGAGTTTCGGTAAATGGATCTGAATTATAAAATGCAAAGCACACAAATACACCCAGTATCAGGAAGAAATGATATGTTTCCTTCGAGGGAAAGATTAAATAGGTTCTAGTACTTTTTTCCCTCAGGTATAGAGTTTGATAGTGGTGAAAGGATAAATGAATCAATTTATCCAACTCACGATATCAGTACCACAACTTAGTTGAGTTCTTTTTTTTCATCAAATGCCACATTTTATTATATATGAGATTTCTATAGCAGATTCAGTTTTTGGTAAACCAATAACTTCACATACTGCAAGTTCAAATGTCTCACATACTCCATACTAAAGTCATATACATTGACTATTCCATTACAATAGAAAATTATAAGTGTACTCATTACGTCGTAAGTTCATGGGTGGAAAGGAACTAGATGCAAAGTATTAGGAAACACTGCTTACAAATTTGATCAATTTGTAACATGTTGATGGTATAACATGGAAAACAATTAGATTTGGCCAGGGAATTTACGAGATCAATAAATTGGTGAAAGTACTGACCACAAAATAATTACGCCAAGCTGAGACATTAGATGCTATTGAAAAAACTGAGTTTATGAGCATTTTCGGAATCGTTTTAATGTACACTGACAAAACCCTTCTACCATCACTCTGATTATCATTGCAGGAACGCAATAGCAGCAAACCCTTCGTGAGAGATCCAACATACATAAGAGCGGTTAAAGATAGAGGATAGGCAACAGCTTGCCACTGTTTCACAAACAAACAATACATTTATTAGTACTTGCACTTTTACAATCTTTGCATCAGATGGGCTTACTATTGATTATAGCAAACCAAACAACGTATCACGCAATGAAAGAGATTTCTAGAAGTCGGAGTTGATACTCACTATGTGGTCTGCTCTGATACCAAAAGCCTGCAGCAAGTTTGATGCATTCCACCTTATCTAGAAACATATTAAGAATCTTAAAATTCAGCCCATTAAACAAATCAGAAGGTATATAACAACAATGTTTCACCCAGTTCCACTGACATTTTAATGTGAGGCAATAGAGGTTATATATTCGAAGTTAAATAATGATCCGGAATAAATATTTTTCTCTTCTTTTTTGGACAATCCATTCAACAACAATTCTTCATATGGAGACCCTTTAACTTCAATGTAAAGATTACAGTCGATCTTTCTACAGAACTTTATATGTAGCATAAAATGATCAAGATAGCTGTACCGTAGATACACGAGTTTAGTTTCACTTTTCGAAGATATCCACTATTAAAGAAAAAGCGCATTTTGGATTGGAGCTTACAGGGAGGATGATAGAGCAGGCCATGAGGGAGGCGACGGTGGAAACGGCAGCACATATGAACCGGCGAACCATGAACGATTTAAAGGAATTAGCCGGTGGCAAGCGGAGAATCATAGTCGGAGCATATAGGACTGCGACGTAAGATAGCGCCAGGGTAGTACATGCCAGTACGGCGGTCCATTTTGAAACGCCAGTGGTGCTGGAAGCTAGAGCAGCACTGGCTACTTCCTCCATCTTCATCGGAGTAAGAAGCGCAGACGTTGTGGATTATTCACAGTGTTTTGAGTCGGTTTGTCGGTAGACTCCATGTTGACTTTCCGGCAAGGAATTCTTCTGGCTCTTCGTCTTGAATTAGAATGGACGGAAGGGCATTTAAGTCATTTAAATAGGAACAGTACAAAATAGTGACATAGAGAGTCCGTTTGGTAGCACGAAAATATGCAGATTTGACTGATTCTGCTGAAATTTACGAAGTTCTGGCTGAAGTGGTTGCATTAGCTGATTCAGCTGATTTAAGAACAAAATAATTTTAAAATATATTTTATTAATAAAATAAAGAAAAATTTATATGTAAAATAGCTAAAACGATCATCTACAGTAACTTCAGGCAATACAGGCAGAAAAGTAACTTCAACCTTACTTTTTCTGCTTATTACAAAATTCAGCGCGTGAAAGCAAAAATTATGTGTTTTATGAAAAAGTTGGTTGATAAGTCAGAAAACAGTGTCGACAAACGACCTCAGAGTCTCACTCTTTTAGCAGACATTTCTTCTCGGGTAGGCAGGGCCCGATCCAATATTTAACCGAGCTGTACTCGTACCGTGATTATTTAAATGGTTCGGTTCGCTATTGTCTTAGACTTAAACTTATTTGTTACGGTTCAATTTTCAAATGGGAAAGTACCATGTCAATGCCAGTACCAAACAATGCTTAAAGTGTAGTCATTCTCCAAAAATCTACACAATTTATCAATTTTTCATATTACATAATTAATAAATTTTAGATAAACTACTGTAGCACAAATTTAAAAATTAAACTATACTTTGACCTGATTCTCAGTTTCCAGTGAACTAGCAAAGGTTGTTAAAGTGTGAAGGAACTAATCAAAGTAATTGTATAAATGTACATTTAAATAATTAAATCATACTTCGATCCGGTTCGGTTCGGTTCAGGACAAAAATTTTGAGATTCATTTCAAACCCTGTTTTTCAATTTGGTACCATGTCGGTTCGGTATTTTTGCTCATGCCTAGTTTCTTCATTCGGTGTTATTGAAGATATTAGAAAACTCAGAGTATCTCAATCTAGATGTCTCTATCTAGATGGACTTTGTCAAATTCAAATTAGGTGATAAATAAGAAAAGTAGAATTGTTAGGTTGAGGTTTATCTAGATGAGAGAGAATTAAGCAGAATTACAAATTAGTTGTTTTAATAATAAAGTGACAAAGTTTTTTGGTATATAACAAAAAAAAATTGGCAAAATCCGATTGGACGGAGGGAGCAGTTATTTTTAGCGTATTTTTGCAACAAAAAAAAATTGCTTTTGGTTTAAAAAAGCATAAATGTGTGTTTTGAGGTTACAATTTCTGCTTAACTTAAACATGTAAAAGCTAAAAGCTAGAATCTCATTTTTACATTTTCTATTACACTACCAACTTTTTATTTTCAAATTCAATTTTTTCTCAAACACTAGTCTTTTACTATTAAGCACTTTTTTTCCATAAAAAGCGATTTTTAATGCAAAAGCTATTGCAAAACACTCTTAATACCATTAGCGCAGGTCATATTTAGCGATATGTGAATCGTATTGATCGCAATTTTATGAGAAAAGCCGTTTGTATGCGTAGTTGTGGTTTTTGGTAGAGTAGTCACCCTCAGTTACTAGTCGCCATGTACGAATAACTGAACAAGAGTTATTGCAGAATGACAAATCACTAGAAACTAGTTACTGAATATGTTACTTTTTAGAAAATTTTAAAACAAGTCATATTTTTGTTATTTGAATTTAATTTAATACCATATGAATAATATTCTGAAAAAAGGCCACATAAAAACACGGCATAGAGAAAATATAAGATGTTTGATCAAACTAAACTTAAATCGACCATCTCAAATTAACTTAAATAATGGTAACTTACTCATAAAATTAATCAAATCGGATCAGATAAGACTTAAATAGTTAGACTAACTTAAAAAATGAGTCTAATTAAAAACATATACTAAATGATGTTACAAGTTGATACATACTAGTATTAAAGAAATTCATAGTGCATGTAGTTTTAGTTATATTTAATTTATCGTTGTTGTTGCTTTGCATATTGCTGAACGTCGCGAACATCATCATAGACTCATGGTGGTATGTATCATGTATGTCTATTTCTATCATAATTTACTTGTTGAATGATGTTTTTATATTGTAAATCATCACCACTACGATTATTGCTCATATGGCATTAATGCTTGTTAACTTGTTATATCTTTCCTGACATGCTCAAAAGTTTGGAAAATGTTCATCCCAACAGCTAATATCTTTTTCTTAATCAAATTTACCTCTTTTATGAAATGGGTGCATTTGCAACTCAGAACCATATTGCCGCAAAGCCGCAAACCAACTGAGTAGCCTAGAACTAGACCAGGAATCAAAACCCGTTTTCATCCCGGTTCTTAAACAATGATTTGAACCCATTTTTATGTATTCAAAAGATTAATTCAAGTTCTAAAACTCTTTGAGTCTACATTCCCAAATTAAATCGTTTCACTGATAATTTTTTTGTAATTACTAATTCCTTGAGAGCTCTTAGATGTTCATTCTAATATATCATCTAAGATGTGATTCTCATCTGTACCCACACATTACACATATATACCAACATAATCTTTGTACTTAAATAGGCGTAGTGAGACACATAAATACAACACTTTTGATTAATTCAAACTAGACTCAAGTTTCAAGTGCAAACTTAATCAAGTTGTGAACCACATAGCAGCTCACAAGCTAATCATACACTATGTCCCTATGTGGGATTACACACTAATCTCACACGGAGTAATCTGAGCCCATAATGAACACACCCTTTCATGTTGATCAATACCAATTTTATAGATTCCCTAAAAAAACCAATTTTATAGACTTGGAAAATGCAATATAGAGCACATCATTCTCTTCTTCATCAATTCGATCATATCAGCAAGAATAAATAGTCATTAGTTTTCTATGTACAGTTCTGTAGAATTGAATATTTGAAGGACATAGTATGCGCTTTCGAGGCACCAATTCCTCTTTGAACTCTTATAGGTGAGCGTATTGTACACACAGCGGCTCGGGGAAGGAAACACACTGATTGACTACTCCATAATGGGGCACATGAGCCTGGATATATTGTGTTAAACAAGTACAAAATCTAACAATTCAATTATGGCAAATCTCATTGGATACTGACCCTTGCCTTTAGGATCCGCCATGCATTGAAGTAGTCATAAAGGACTCACCACAGCCACATTGACCTTTAGAATTAGGATTAATGAATACAAACTCTGATCTGTACATACATGCCAAGATTAAACCTCAGAAAGATGATATAAATAGTTGGTACGTGAAAGATGCATAACTCATTTGAAATATGGGCTTTGTGGGCAGCGTATATTGTACAACATAGTGGGGGAGAGGGGCGCGTAAAGTGAACTTACCTGAGCTTATCGTCAACAAAATCCATTCTAGTACCAATAACATGCATTAATGCCTTCGGGTCAATCAGTATCTTCACTCCTTTCTCCTCAACAGCTTCATCAAATTTTCCCTTCTCATCTATCCATTTCAAAAGTTTGTACTTTCAATTGGTCAGTGTATAAAGACATTCAAATTTAAGATTATAACATCACATTCAGGCTCATGGATCGTATAAAATTGAATATTAGAGTACTATACCATTTCATAAGACCACAAAGGACAATTTAAAAACTCAGATGCACAACGGGAATTAAAGAAATTGGATATGGAACCAGTCCAATTGCCAGGCGCATTGATTACCTGATTGCGTGCAATTGTGCAAATATACAAAAAAATCCCATAACTTGTTGAGATGCGCCCCAAGTCCCGCATCGGAAAAATAAGTAAAATTAACCTTGACTTTAAGTATCCACCTAGCTTCACTAGCATGAACATGAAGCCTTTTGGCAGGTACCAGGAAATAGATTCATGCAAGCTTGGCCCAAAGCTGACTTTATCAGAGACAATGTATAAAGATAGTCTTCCTGATATTCTGTTCACCAGGCCTGTCCAGTTGGTTGAATAGCAGCAGTGCTAGATGATTTGATGGATCAAATGGATTATCACTGGAGAAGAGGCCATGAGCTTTGAGGTCCTTGGTTTGAGGCATAAAATTGCAGGCTTGATTCAAAGCGCACAATATCAAACTAATGAAGTTAGGTGGATACTTATATAAGTTATATTCATGGTGACTCTTCCTTTTTTCAAATTGGGACTTCAGATTCATCCTAACGTAGCTGAGAATGCAAAACACACACAAATCTAATCAACCAATAGGAAATTTGATGACTAAGAAAAAGGCCATTGCACTTTGACTACGGCTATCATTTTTAACTCATACGTGAGGCGATGAGCATCTAGACTCATGGTCACTGTTTCTACTTGACAATTCAATAAGCTCTAACTTTCATTACATGATTATGAAGTGGCTCAAACTTACTCACTTTTGTTCCATGATAAAAATTATTTTAAGACTTTCCATATACTTGACCTAATAAAACGATGAGGAAACTTTGTTGTTCTTGTAGTTTTCCAGGAGAAATAATGATGTGTTCTATCGTCACATGCTCACATAAACTTTTTGGGGAGCTTTTTTGACCTAAAAATTCATGTTCAATTTAATCAAAATCTGCATTATCCTATAACATGAAATTTCAATATGTAAATTATTTTGAGCAAGCATTTCATAGTAACTAATCTGTCCATATTGTTCCATTTGATGCTTTGATCCCTCCTCATCTCACTAAGACAGTTCAAGTGCATGTGTAATGAATTCAGCCATTCAGGTACATGCGCAAACTGAGATTTAATAATCATTGAAATCTCAAGTATTGCAACTCCATAAAACTTTCATCTACTGATTCCACAATTTATTTCTCCATTGAATTTTGGCTATATATTCAATATTCACTATATTACACTAACAATTAGAGATTCTCTCCTCCTTCAAAAAAGAATTATTCCTAGGCATTGAGGGGGAACTTGAGAATGTTGACAGGCAACACAGTAATTAGAGTGAACAGATGAACACTGGTGCTATTTTAATCATGTTACATGCACAAACAAACTGCGCCCACAATTATAAACCCGTGTTTGCTTGTACAGTCCAAATATTTGACATTTAACACTTTCACCATAAATTCAAAATTGCAAATAACCTGTACAAATCCGAATTTATTGAACTTCTTTTGGTTAAAAAATAATATAACTGCTATTTATCATGTTTTTCCTATGAAGAACGAAAACTTTTTGTGGCTCACATCTCCCATTTCACAAACTCTATGGTGTGTCGAAAAATTATAAACTTCAAATTCCCGTTTAGGGGCTGTTTCCGTAATCATGAAGAATTAAGAAAGCCGTTTCCCTAAATATTTCCTTCAGAAATATCTTTGGTGAATTTTTATGGTATTTCTTCGTGTAACATTGAGGCATTTCATAACGCATGCTATAAATGTAAATTATGTGATGCATTCTATGTTTAATTATGCACTAATGTTTCCAAATTTGAACATGCAGTATTTATCATTGGCTTACTAAACAAGTTATATGAAACAATATGTGCATATATAAATGAAAAACATGTGTACATATGTGAAAAAATATTTATAAATATATCCTTATATTTTTTAATATTTACACTTTTTCCCTCATTTTGTATCCTGTATAAATTAGAAATCACGTTTCATGTTTCCAGTTTCCGTGCTACTTACTGATTTTCTGATCTCAGCAAAAACCCAACCTGACTCGACCCTACCCAGCTCCTAAGCTGCGGAGCTGCCCCTTAAAGAAATGTTAAGAGTTCGCCACCCATCAATACATTAATCCCCTACCCATGATATCATCCAGAGATCCATTCATGTTCTGAAATGCAATACAAACTTCGGCAAGAACTTTCTCAAATTAAGCAAAGAAATTCAATAGACTAAAATAAATATACAGAATCAAGAAATGGAGGCAATGAAAATTCCAATTTGAAATTTTACGTTAATCAGATAATATGAATTACCGGCGTAGTTGAGGGTGTAAGATAGACCGTTGCAGCCCCGAGCCTTGACGCCGAGCTTGAGAAAAGAGCGTTGGCGCTGCTGAAGAAGGTAGCGTATCCTATCGGCGGCGGAGTCGGTCAAGGTAATAGCCTGGCGGCGGGCTGCGGCTCCAATCTTCTCCGCTGCCTTGGATAAAACCGGAGCGGCCATGGATCGGACGTTTGTTTGGGAAATAGGAGAACCGTGAAAATGTGTTTCTCTTCTTCGCCTACCCATTTATTTTCCCATTTAACGGTTTGTATTTAACTATTTATGGTCTGGAGAAAAAAGCACAAAATTGTGGGTTTTGAAGAAAAAAATTAATTGTTTTTTATATACAGAAAATATGATCAATCTTTGTTTAATACCGAGTAATTCAATTTTTCCCCTATAATCTATACTCAACCTTTCCTTTTTTAGTAGGTTCCAAATAAACTTCACACTTTTTTAATGGAAAGTTTTTAACATAAAGTTACTCTTATTACCCTACTTTATAGTTTATACCCATTTTCTCTCCTCCACCACACTTTATCACTTTTTTGATAAAGTGATAAAGTCAAAAGTAAAAATTTCACTTTCTTAAAACTCGTAAAGTCAAACTATGAAGTTTATTTAGGATCAGAGAGAGTAATAAGTTAGAAAGTACAATAGGAAAACATAAAACTTCTTCTTAATATACGATAGTACATTGTTTATTTGATATAAGCAATTTGGAGATTTGAGCGCGTTAAAAATAAACCCTGCTAGCCACCTATTTCTCTCATCTTTATGAGGTATAAAAAAATATTCAAGGAGTAGATTGAAGCTCGTGTGAGCGGTGATTTGTTCCCAGTGTGTCTTGGGTTCTTAATATTCTTTCAATTCTGACAGTTATTTTATGGATGACACCTATTAGTGATACAAGTTGCTATCGGATGCTATACTATTGTTTAAATGTTATTGAATACACTCATCTAGTCATAGATATGTTTTTCTCTGAGGTCGCCTTTTTCTCAAATTGTCTATAGCATTGTCGACGACTCATCTTGTCTCAAACCATCGTCATTGATTCGAAGAGTGATTCTATAATTTTTTATTAGACTGGTGTGTTTCAAATTGGAATAAAGGTTATTGATGTTCTCTCTGGCGCGCTATGTCTAAAGGTTCCGTGGAAATAGGCGAGGATGCAACAACTACATGATTGGACATTGATGCACAATTTCTACTGTATTTACAATTTTGTTTATTTATGAACTTTTTATTTGTCGTTATTCATTCATTTTGATTTTTTAAAGAGATTATAGGTTTTTCACATCAGATTGGAAGCATAGAGATTGACATGATCAAATTAAACTTTCATTTGTTCATTACATGGCTAGCTACTTTTGCGACTCATTTGTGGGTGATAGAGTATAAATATAATCATTGGGCTTCTTACTGTGACCGGTATTATTTTGAGTCTATTGTAATGATCTTTGGTTTATTACTTTTAATATAGGTGATTTCCATGCAAAAAAATGTTCAACCTCTCTTTCCATGAAAGCACTTCCAGAATCCCTACTGGTGATCCCCTGAATTTTTTTTATTTTATCAGTTTTTTTAGCCAGAAAAGGTCATCAGAAAGATTTTCATTGGACACAATAACATATTCTACGGTGCCAGTGACGATGGCGGTAGCATTAATGACAACCGCAATAACTGTTAGTGAGCAAAATAAAATAAAAAATGACCTAATAAGCTGACGGTGACTTTCAAGGAAAAACTAACACTATTTTTAATTGAGTTTCAATTTAATACGGAGTAATATTTAAGAAAAACCTTTTGTATAAATTGAACATTTAGTAATGAAATTGTTAAATAGTGTAAACATGGTTGGGGCACATAAACTCGTCTTGTGTAATTAGGAGGGTAAAAAGATGCATGTTTCTATTCATATTGACAAACTAGTTTTTTTAATGCGCGTTGCGCAAATGCAAAATGCCCAATGTTATTTATATTGTGTAAATTAAACACTTACTCTGTATTTTTTTTATTTAAGAGAGACTGAATCATTATACTGAAAGGAATCTTATTTTTGTTTATTTTTATTATAATTCAAATCAACAAAAAAGTCACGCAAATGTCATGGAAAGAATTTGATCCAAAAGTAATCATTTTTTGGGAAAAGTACAGAAAAAGTACTTGTGGTTGAGCCCGTTTTCATATAGGGTCATGTGTTCCATTCTTTATCAAAGTGGTTCATGTGTTTGAATTCCGTTATCACAAGAGGGTCACGCCATTAAAAACGTCTGAAAAAGACCGTTAAAAATAACTTCGATTTTCAAAAGTGCCCGAAAAATTGAAAGAAAATTACCGGAAGGTGCGCCTCAATAAGATGACCGCTAGGCCATCTTTCTTTTTTGTTTTCAGCCACCCTTGTCACCGGAAAGTCCATCGGGAAAGTGATATTAGCGAAATCATTTTTAAAAAATAATTCAAATAGATCTAAAAAATCCAAAGGCGGAGGTGGTTTGTAGGTCATTTTGACGAGGCGCACCTTTCGGTATTTTTCTTTTAATTTTCGAGCACTTTAGAAAATCGGAGTTACTTTTAACGGTCTTTTTCATACTTTTTAACGGCGTAACCCTCTTGTGATAACGGAATTCAAACACATGAACCACTTTGATAAAAAATGAAACACATGACCCTATCTGAAAACGGGTCCAACCACAAATACATTTTCCTTACTTTTCCCTCATTTTTTGTTATTGATACAATATCCGTTTAAAGATATCGTCTCTCTATATATGTTTCCAGTTGTTGAATAACACCAAGTATAAGTCCATACATGTTCGAGTTATGGAAAGAACCCAAGTATAAGAGCGATTATCCACACGAAAGTTGGGTTTATTTTATTTACAAATTTAAACACACAATTACGTACATGCTACACAATTAAAACATTTGTCACAAGAAGAAGATATGTCTACATGCATGCATTTCTCGAATAGAAACACCTGACCTACAAGATGGCAAACAAAAAGTGTAAACTTTAAATAAGAAATTTAAGTGAACTTATGTCTGTCAAATTGGTTCACTAGATGATAAGGTATTTTAGTGTGACTTTATTTTTCAGATATAAAAAGAAAAGCAAAAAAAGACAAATATTTGAAGTTTTGACTTGTTAGGCTGTTATATTATGTTACCGACACATTGATAAATGCATCCTTGAGGCAAAATCAAATACGGTGTTACTCCCTAAATTTTTTTATCGTGTAGTATTTTTTTATCTTCTTCATTTTAAGTTCTAACTATGTTAATCTACAAATCTGCTCAATAAAATCAGGCCCCATAAATATAGTTGAGTGTTTTATAATGAAAATGGGACGTTTCTCAATTGAACAAACCAAATAAACACAAACCAGACAAACAACCCTTGAATATTCATCGGAAAATGAAATACTAAGTATGACTTCTCTTAACATATTTTAACATTTCTATATATATATGTTATAAATCTTATAAACAGGGGAATGATGATTAAGGCAATTTGAAATATATAGAAAATCATATATTTACAAATTTTATTGATAATAGCATAAAAGATCTTGAATACTACGTAGTATTTCAAAGAGAGCAATACACGGTTTGGGGTGGGCATTTGAAATGCTCACTTCCTGTGTAATGATTTGTAGAAGGTACAACACTTTAATTCAAAAGAAACAATCCAAAGAAACCCATTTATTTGAAAATTGTAAAACTCATATAGAAAGAAATAATTAATAACAGTCAGATATAAATCAAACCAATGATGACATTTGGAAAGATAATACCATAAGAATATATTAGATGTTTTAAGGTTTTCCCATGAGCACAAAAATGACAGACTAATAAACTATTCACAAGTTGAGGAGAGGTGTATGGGCATGAGAAACAGAAATGCATACTATTCACAAGTTATTAATAGAGTTTCCATCTGAAACCCATTCATCAAACAATATTTGCAGTTCATTCCTAAAAACCAATCATCCATGTAAACCAGACATATTTCTGGTAGTGCAATAATACAATGTACATAAGATGTGTTACACAACTTTGGGCAACCCATTCATCTCACAAAAGTATTTATAATGAATGGATGTAGATTATGAGAAGAATGTACCATAACTCATTAATTTTAAAAAATCAGTACATTCAGTCACTTCAAGACCAAACAACTCTTAATAAGAGGGCTCAAATTATACCGAGGAGATATCATTTCACTGAAGCCAACCAAGCTCAAGTGAAAATAAGTGTATAGGGTAAAGAGGTAATAAAAGATTACAATTATGATTGCTACCGATGGAAAAGAAATACAATAAGATACTTACCGCAGATCCAATTATCTCCATTAATTCAGCAGCAGCAGCACGACGAAGAGGTTCCCTCGAGCTAACCTGCAGATTAGAAATATGAAGTGCTTTCTTTTAATCTCACATGGTGACATATGACACTAAAATGGTAATGGTTAAAGAAAATATGCCACAAAATGAAGCAAATGAGAATCTATGGGCTCATTATCATTTTCTTCTTTCTACTTTTTCAACAACTTAAAGAAAATTCTGAAAATCAGAAAATATGGTTTTGCATTTTCTTGGTGGTTTTCAAAGTAATATCATTAGTGTAAGTGTGATTACATTTTACCTTACTGTAATATATATCTTAAAATAGCAAAGCCAAAATCTGTAAACTGGCAGCCAGATTGAGGGGGGCGGAACTACGGAACACAAGTAAAGCCGCAAGCGGGTGTGTATGAATGAAGAGAGAAATTTTACCGCAAAGGGACCAACAACACATACTTTATAATCCGCATTTGACAAAAGCCTCAGTGTGTTGCAAGCAGCATATAACTGCTCAGTTAATGCAGTTATGAAGGAAACAGTGCCCTCATGCCCATGTATCCTAAAATTCTTAGATATCTCTATATGGTTGTCCAAAGTTCTATGAAGCCCTGTAAAGCGTTTAACTTGTTTTGTTTTTTTAAAGATCAACATGACCACTGAGAATGGAAAAAAATTCCATGTGTAGGAGGAGCATAAGTGACTAAGTGAGTATTATGTCATACCACTATGCCAAGCATCTCTTTGTAGGCGCAAACTTCTTTCACATTCCAACATTGCTTTTTGACCTGCCATGGCCATCATATACTCCAGCGAAGGTGGATTCTGGTCCGGCGTCGAATTGATTGCAATAGATTAGCACATCATAAGAAAATAGATCTGCTGTCTGGTGCAACTGCTGGTGTTCCAATATCTATGGGGAGTAGCGGATGATTTGTCATTAACGGTACCTATAGGATAAGATGAAAACAAGAGGGTTAATGAAAAGAGGTACTATGGCATGACCGTAATGTACAACCCCATTAAAACACAGCGTTACACCAACACATTTTTTACGCCTAAAATGTCCTAACCCTCATTGCCTCTTATAGTTGTTTAGAACTTTAGATATGCAAACTTCTTCTTATGTTACATACTTCTATGTGAATCAAAGCTTATCTATTACGGAGTATTTGATGTTGCTGTTGTGGGAAAAAAGTAGTGCATCTCCTTTAAATAAATGGGCACGCTGGTTTAAGCACTCTATTTCCGTTATGCCATTATTTATATTTCTTCCATTTAATTGGTTATCTGTTTGATAACCCAAACTTAGAAGGTTAAATTAAGAAAACCTTTGTTCTGCAAAACTAACTACTTTAGAAAAAATGGGAAAGCTAGAAAACTTCTGAAGATTATACCCAATTTAGTCTTCTTTCTTAAAGAATTAAACATTTACCTTGTTCACCCTAAACATTTTAGGATGCATTTAGAGAAGTCTTAGTTTGTACTTTTTTCGCCTATAATTCATCTGGACAAAAATATTTTTATTACATACAATGTGTACTTGATGCGCAGCCACACACAATGTGTCTTTGTACATAGTCTATCTTATCCAAAATTCAAGAATGGGTCTGCTAGATGCAAAATAGTCATCTATAGCACACAATGCCAACTACCTGCATATCTTGAATCTATGCAAAGCTTACTGGTTTATACATAATGTTTTTAAAGCACAGAATATCATATATAATACTTACAAAACTAATTATTCCTTGAATATGTTATTTCTCTTGAAAAGTATCTAGATACTTTATTGAGTTTGTGAAAAAGATAGTTATATGAAGCAAATGTAATCAAAGTCATCAGATTCATAAACGTATAAAATCAGATACTCCATTAGAACTAACTTTATCAGAACAATCTTAAGCTGAAAAAATCTGAACGAACTTAACCTATATTTTTATTTCATTGTTTTTCAGGTAATTAAACATGTAAACCAGGTGACGGCAACACAAAAGTCCTACATAGTGAATATAATCTAAAATTACTCATATCATAAAGTGTTCTCTGAATGCTATTTGTAATGTTTTCATCTTGGTAACACTAATTTTAGGAGACTTCTATATAGTCTGGCTAGTGGCCAATGACTTACATATGGACTGGCTTTTACACTCGGGTATCTACCAGATAGCATTCAGCCATTTAGGGAACTACGGAGTATAATTCACTTTTGTGATGCCATTTCTACTTAGCATGTTCAAAAACTATTTTATTTCGTGATGCCCTTTCTATTTAGCTTGTCCAACAACTACATAATTAGATAAGTTTAATTGAGTCAGATTGGAACTCCCATGGTCTTGAGGAAAATTGATATCCAGAAAAGCAAAAATCTAGTTACAAGCTCAGAACAATTCACCCCATATTGTATATAAGCCATGCTAAAGTCAAAGTAAAACATGGAAAACTCAACTAACTATATAACTAAATGATTGAAATAATATATCAGGTGAAGAAGAAGCTAAACACATGACAAAATACTAAAGAAATTTTGATCTAAAGATGCTTCTCAGCATATGAATTGCATAGTTAGGACCCTTAACTTGATCAAAACATGCATTTCAACTTAATCACCCAAATACTGTTGTGAGGAAGGAGATGAGCATAGCTGAGCGAAAATCGGAGAAACGACATGGAAACAAACCTTGACAGTTGGCTGAAGGAGAGGGAAACGACGGGAGCTAGCGCGGTGTGGTTAGGGCGTGGATGAGACCTGCTCTGCGCGAAACCAGGGTTGGGGGTGCTAGAGATTCGAAATCCCCTGGAGCTCTAGCGCCATGGCTCTTTTTTCTTTTTTGAGCAGTGCGCCATGGCTCTTGAATTTCTGCTTGGGATGTCTATTTTAATCCCGTGTTCCATTAGAAACTGGGGTTTAGCAAGACGGGAGCTATCGACGGAAATGAGACGGAAAATTAAATTCCTCTAAAAAAGTACACACAACAAACCATAATGTACCACCTAATAAAGCAAGTGATTACACCAACATTATTTTCATCCCTAAAATGCCCAAACCTTCATTGAGGATTATAAGATTTTAATTATAAGATTTTATAAGATATGTTGAACTAGTGTGGGATCTAGGGCACAATATGGCAAGTGCCCCTCTTCCACTCCAAAACAATAAAGGAGTGTTTGAGTTTGCTTAAAAAAATTGTTTTTCAGCTTTTGGCTTAAAAAAAAGTTGAAAAGAGTGTTTTCAAATGACAGCTTCTGCTTAAATTAATCACTTAAAAGCTAAAAACTGGAAGCAGGTAGAAGGGTGCTTTAAACTGCTTCTCACTTTTACCAAACACTGCCACCTTTTACTTTTTCAGAATCACTTTTTTCTCAAACACTACCAACTTTTACTATTAATCACTTTTCCCAAAATCATTTTAAAAAATCGCTTTTTTAAAGTTGAAGCAATTGCAAACACTCCCTAAGTTGATTTTGGACGACTATTTAGAAATGGACGTTGTAGAAAAAATATTATTGTCCTTAAGAAACGTTGTAGAAACGTGCATTATATTAGTATATTACTACTTACTTCGTATTAAAGTTCAACCCCAAAGCAATACCATTTTGATACTCGTATCAAATATAGATATTGATATACACAATGCACTATCACTGCATAACACTAAAAAACTTTCTGGCAATACTTAACCTGACTTAGCTCTAAGCCAAACATCTCATAATAAGGGGCCGTTTGGCAACACTGTTTTTCGGATTATCATGCTTATCAGTCAACTTTTTTACCAAACACGCAATTTTTGCTTTCGTCCGCTGAATTGTGTAATTAGCAAAAAAAGTAAGGTTGGAGTTACTTTTCTGGCTGTATTGTCTGAAGTTACTGTAGATAACCATTTTAGCTATTTTTACATATAATTTTTTCTTTATTTTATTAATAAAATATATTTTAAAAATAATTTTTCTTAAATCGACAGAATCAGCCAATGCAGCCACTTCACCCAGAACTTCATAAATTTCAGCAGAATCAACCAAATCAGCCGATTTTCGTGCTACCAAACGGGCTCTAAAACAACTTTGACAAGGATCCATAAATTCCTGTTGAATTTATTTGTACCAAAGCTTTATTGTCACAAAGAAATTAGCACAAAATCGTGATACAATTGTATATCTTATAATAAATCCATGTTGAACCCATTATTTTTTTGTACTGTAACATAGTTCAACATATAAATCCAAATATTAAAACAGACTTTTGTGAAACGTGGAAAGAGTAAATCTGAATTACTGAACTTCACTTTGAGATAGTGATTTTATTATTTCAAACTAGCAGATTTATTATGGACATAATTTGTAGTAGCACAGCTAGGATTGGAAGCAGTCTGCAGTCATAGTTCTGTACCATAACTTGGACCATTAGATTAATACGTGTAACTAGATCAGAATTGTAATCTGAAATCGGAAATGGCCATTGTCAATTCTATTAAAAATATGTGTAAACAAATTCTATGAAAACTTAAATACATTATAAAAATATGTTAAAAAATTGGTATTATAGAAAAGACTTATATATATATAATTCATTAAATGTTAAACAAACTAGAGCCAAAACTATTGAAAAATTAAAAATGCCACATTCCTCATTTTCAGAGGAATGTAACATTTTTACACAAGATGACACTTATTTTTTCAGCGATCGAGCTGGTGGTGCGCGCTGGGAAGTGGAGGATGCAACGGCCTACATATTTTTTAATATTCTTTAGGTGTTATTTTATGTTTGTTAATTGTTTTTTATTTTTTGTTTATTTTTATTTCATTGTAATTTATGTTGTGTTTTACCTTTTTTAATCTTAATTTTTAATTAATTTTTTATAATTTATTTTTATATTTATATTTTTATTATAAATAAAACAATGATTTTTTATTAATAAAATAAATCTATTAGAAATTATAGGAATGTGGTATAAATGTAAATTAAAATAGCAAGAAGGACATATATTACTCCTATTTTGGAAATAAAAAGATTATAGTTATATGAATTGTTACATTTCGGACTACTTTTATTGGATATTTGAATTGCAATACATAATGTCGCCTGTATCAATGAATCAATCCAAAGGAGAAAAGACAATGGGGGTGTTTGGTAAACGGCGTTTTCAATAAGTGAAAACGATGTTTGGTAAATAGTGGTTCGACACTAGCGTTTTTGAACGGAAAAGCTAAAATGAAAACGCCGCTAATAGGAGAGTTTTGGATTGGCGTTTCGGAAAATGACGTTTTCTACTAATTTTACGGCCAAACAGCTAAATTACCAAACATCTTTTAACAACCCGCCAATTTATTCCGTTAGTCAAACCCGCTGACTGAATCCGCTATTGACAACCCGCTATCCGCTATCCGCTAAATGCCAAACACGCTCAATGAATGAAGTACAATACAATCTTTTTATTATCAAACGACTTTTATTATATTATTATTGAATATTAAATAGTTATAAATAACAAGTACTCGTTAAAAATTCAAATTTTCAATGGCACATATATAATGAGAAACAGGGCCGTTTTTTAGGGGGTTCAAAAGGGTATCCAGAACAGGGCCCCTGAATTTATGGGGTCCCAAACTTTTAAATTTTCTTTTAGTATTATATAGTATGGAGTAGTATTATATATTCATACTAATCAGTAAAATAAATTTACTAAGGAAGAAATATATAGATTCACTATTTTCTTTGGCCCTTTTACTCTTTTAGTTCTTTTTTAATAAGTATTTAATTGAATTTAATATAAGTATTTTGGTCGATTTTTTTCATTTTTTTTTATATTAATGTGGAGCCTCAATTTTACATTTAAAACTGGGGCCTCCAAATTCATTAGACGGCCCTGATGAGAAAAGTGGAGTAAAACAAATTAAAAATCATTGATCATCAGGTATGATACAATAGCAGGCCACAATAGCCCCAGGGGCTCC